CGAGACAGTCAATCTTTGATTTTGAATAATTTATGATAGGAACAAGATAGAGAGCTACGGGTTTCATTGTTCGAAAGAAAATGTGTTACTGCATATTACTCAACGATTTTATCTAATGATCAAATGGTGAGTCTCCGGAAAAACTCTGCAAATGGCAGAAAAGTTGTATCAGACCAGCGTACCTACTTTTATCCTGTTTCGTTTAAAAGTTATAGATGTCACACTAGGCAATGAGACTGTGGGTGTGAATCGTAAGTATGCTAGTCTAGTGTAACTTTTATGCCATTTACATAGTTTTTCCGAAGACTCATTATCTGATCATTAGACAAAATCGTTGAATAATATGCAGTAACACACACACTCTCTTTCGAACAATGAAAGTCGCAGCGTTTGCTATCTTGTTCCTATCATAAATTAAAGAGTGACCGAAAGCGAGATCTTTATATTTCGGTAATGAACTGATTTTTGTAGGAGGACTGTATAGACATCTCAAATATTCTTATAAGTAACACGTTTTGGTGCAATATAGAAAAAACTTCCTTTTTCGAGATGTAAGACTGCTTCTTGAATATTTTCCATTTTGATGTTTATTAAAAAAAAACAGAAATAGGTCTGAATGATGGAAAATGCAATAAATTCCACATATTCCTTATTATTGAATAAAAACTTCGAACTATTATTATGAAAAATAGTTCATTCAATAGAACTGTGATGAACACATGAATTTTTTGTTTTTGGTGAATGACTTTCCAGATATCCTGTACTTTTTTTGATCTCAGATATGTGTGCCGAAGTCATAAAAATTGAGGGGTCTCTATGAATTACGAGATCGATAAGAAAAGTTTCTGGAATTTTGTTGGAAAACTTCTCAAGATTGGAAATATACATCTGTGTACTCTTATGAAATAAAAGAACTAGTAATTTTGAAATGAGACTAAAAAATGCATAAGGAAACGTCTGTTTTTACGTAAAATGCGAGGCGAGCAGGCCTCGGAATGAGATCACTTTTTTATGGTCCGACCCAAAATGATCCGAACATTGTTTACGCTCACCCGGCCCGAAAGAAACTTCGTTTACAAAGATTTTTTTTCTCAATAGATAGCTATTCCATATTTTTGCGGCTTTTATAAAAAAAAGTGATGACCAAGGGAGGGATAGCGCGGAGAAGCTTTACCCTATCCTCTATCAGGAGTGAGCCAAATCTCAGAAAAAGTTATGTCTAAAAATGATCAAATCATCGGGCCGGGCGGCCCGTTTCGAGGTGCTTTTTCAATCGACTCGTCGATCTCTGTACGATATATATATATACATCTGTTTATAATACGATAAAGCCTTGCAAATGAAATACAATTAAAGAAAAAAAGACAAAATTGTATCCTGTCGGATTAGATCATCTATTTAGAATTGAGAAAGTATGACAACGTGTTGTTGTTCCTTTCAATTACACTCACACCCACGAAGACTCACCATTAGTGAAAAAACTGTGGTAAATCATTGAAAAAAAATCGAATATTTTTTTTCCTATTAAAGAGAAGATGATCGAAGATTTTAATTTATTTGCATTTTATTCTTTTTTTTGTTCTAGTTGGTGTTTATGTGTTATTGATTGTGAAAATTCAAAAAAATGGTGTGGTGATTTACCAAATGGAACAATTCCAAGTAATATTAATGATCATAAAACTTGTGATTGGGGTGTTTATTATCGTAAGTTTTATAATAACTAATATTAATGTAAAAATATTAAAATAATTGAAATATAGGTTTTCATGGTCCAAAAGGTCAATATAGGGGTGTTTATGGAGAAAAACGAATGCGTGAAATAGCTGAAAATACAACAAAATATTTTCTCAATAATACAAATGATAATTCTATTCAACTTTTCTTCTATTTCAATAATACAGATAGTGATTCACCACCAGCTGCTATACAAGATTGTCGATATCTTGTTCAAGCTTTTAAAGATCTTAAAATAATGATTGATTAAACATTTATTTTTTTTTTTGTTTCTGTAATATTCTTGTGTATTATATAAATTTAATTTAGCTTTGAAAAAGAAAAACATCACTCAGTGTATAATAAACGTGAAAACAGACGAACGTATATATGTGGTTATCGAGTGACCGTCACGTCTAATATAACTGGCGAGAAAAAAAATCAAAATGTAATCTATCGGTGAGAAATATTCTTCAGACTTTTTTTTCTTATTCTTGCTAAATATCATTTCTCTCTTTCATTCCTAGGCAAACATAGAAAAGAATAATTTTTATTTAATCGATACAATTTTTCTATTTATAAATTTGATTCTTGTTTTCATAATGACTTTTATAATAATCATCTATAAGTAAATAAATAACTGAAAAAAGGCTTAGTCACATTTGTCACTCACTTTCAGATAATGAATATTAACAATTGATATAAATTCTTCAAGAACTGCAAAAAAAGAAATGTAAACATTGACTTTCTTAAACTATTTCTACTTCAATCAAGATGAATGATCGAACTAAGAGAAAAAAATATTTTTTTAAATAATCAATACAAAAGCGAAAAAAAAATGCTAATAAAAGTCTAATGTTATTTTTTAATTTATATATCAAAAAAAAAAAATTAATGATATATATAATCAAAGTTCAAATAAATAATGTACTTGAAAATAAAATATAAGCATTTTGATTGACTAGAGATAACAAGATAAAAACACATGCACTCATAGACAAACATCTGCAGACAATACTTCCATTCATGTCTTTAATTGTTGTATTCGGGATTGTTCAAACCGATAACCAACTACATTCACAATATCATTTAATGCCTGTTAAAAATTAGTTCAATGATCCAAATGGATCTGTATACTACAATGGTTACTATCACATGTTCTTTCAAATGACTAAAAGAGTCATTCTTATAGTTCATTGAATTCATTCATCTATAGCTCTTGCATTTGATCAATCATATGATATAAATAGAATATTTACAGGAAGTACAACTATTATTGATGGTATTCTAATAATTATTTATACAAATATAACGAATGAAAATAGACAAGTAGAATGTCAAGCAAAACCTGCGAATATATCTGATCGAATATTAACAATTTGAGTAAAATCTTGATTAAATCCTTTAATTACATATTCGAATAGATATGATCCATTAACAGCCTTTCAAGATAATGAAAATAATTATTATTTAATATATAGTTATGATACAGAAGAATCAAATAAATAATAATTATTTTCTAAAATCTGATGTTCTACTTTTAACATCAAATTCAGTTTGTAAATCAAGTATAAAATTACAAAGAAAATAATGAACAAATTATATGAGTTTATATTAATAGAACATTATCATAAAAGAATTCCGAAGCTGCACATGAACTACTTCATACACCTTTATGGTTGGACAAGGTGGTTGATTTATAATAAATGCAAATAATTTTTCTAATTGGTATTTATTATTAGACATAATAACGCCTCGTTATATTAATACATTGACTAATTCCTTATTGCATTTTGTAAAAGAATTGGCGAAGAAATGTGTCTTTGCTTGATAAAAAGAGAGTGTTTGAAATTTTCTATAAAACAATATACGATACAATCAAAAAATTCTATCAATTTATTTCATCATTCCAATCGTACACATACAATGTGAACAAAAGCGAATGTTTCAAAGATGAAATGACGCCTATTTGCTGAAATAAGACGCATAATATTGTCCATCTCATACAGGTCGTAACTACTTCCCATAATAGAGATTAATCACTAAATCTATTTGATTTAAAGCTGTTAGGTTATTATTTATCGAATGAACTGGATGAAACTATAAATTGAGGTCACATAACAACAAAAACAATATTGATCGACGAAATAACATGTTCTATCAAAAAACAAAAAAAATTTACATTCTGTATTTGATTGCATTGTATGATTATATTTGATTCAAAAATATGAGAAGAAGTAATATTCGTTAAATTATGTGTCTAATTGAATCTTTCGAATGGAACTAATTTAAATTTGTATTATTGAATAAAATTTCTATGTTAAAAATCTCAGATCAAATATTTTAGAAAGAAGAAATATTACAAAAAATAAACAATAAAAATGTCAATATTTTAATCCTATGACATATTCAAATCTCTATAACTTTTAAAATTTTCTTAAACTCATCAGATTCTATTGTTAGTTGAAGAATATGATCGCATATTGCACGAATTTTTTTTTTCGATGGATGAACATCATCCTTGATACTTAATTTATTATGTTTAATCTATTGAAAATACTACAATCCTAATACACACATATTTTCCGCTTGCCTAAAATAAATGATAAAAAAGACTTCGGTTATTTAACGCATTTAGATGAAGGATTTTTAGACGAGTCAACGAGTCTAATATACTGTTTTTATCATACAAATTTAATAAATACATCTTTTTTTTTGTTTTAATTTAAATTAAATTAAGATTTTATATTCAATAGTATAGTATTCGATGTTGAATATAGCATTTAATTTTTATTAAAAACTTCAAATATTTTTATTTATTTATATAAACACATAACAAGTTTGTTTTTATGTACTAATATAAAATTTATTTTTCATGCATACGAATAAACAAAAAATGAATACGACGTCAACCGATTGACTATAACAGGTGAAGAAAAAGCAAGTATACATATGCATATCTATATCTATATATATATATATCAAAGGCAATATAATTAATCATTTTTCACCTCTCATCAATGAATGTAAAAACCTTGCTTATTCAAGCACAAGGTGCATCTGCGCATGTTTTTATTCGATATTTTGGAGCATATCCTACAATATGACTGTATATTTTATAAACAAAAAATGCATAAGCATGAGAAGTATCGACATCTTATTTTTTTTTTCCTTTTTCTCTTTTATATATATATATATAAAATAGATGGTGATCAGTCTGTCTGAATATTTGAACTATATTATTTTTTAGATATATAATATAGATTAAATAATTATTATTTTATATCATGGCACATAATAATTTGCCAAGTAATATGAATAATAATAATAATAATCGTCGATTATCATCAATGGTTGTACCAACAAATAATCAAATTTCACAAGATAATACATATGAATATGAACTTATGAAATTAATGGAGCAAGAACGTCAATTACTTGCTACTCGAGTAATTATAAATGTTATATTAATATTTATTTATTTATTTGAATCTTTTAGCAACAAATACAAAGAGAAAATATAGTAGCTAAACAACAACAACAACAACAACAACAACAACAAAATCAATATGTTTCATATGGTAATGAAACATATTCAGATTTACAATCTCAAGCAATATCTCAAGTTAATCGACATATTTTACCAGCTATGAAACCCTTACGAATTATAATTATTCGTCATGCTGAACGAGCTGATGCTGTTTTAGGATCGGATTGGTCAAAGAAAAGTTTTGATCGAAATGGTCGTTATATACGATTTAGTGAACATTTACCTGATGCGTATGATACGTTTTTTTGTTTGTTCTTTTAATAAATAATTGTTTTTTATTTTAGATTACCAACGCGTTCTTATTTACATCATTATGTAATTGATGTACCATTAACAAATCGTGGTCGTATGCATGCTTTTAAAACAGGTAAAGCATTATTATTTAATGGATATGGAGCAGATATTTGTTACACAAGTCCATCATTACGATGTGTTCAAAGTGCTGATGGTATTTTAAATGGTATGAATCGAAAAAATATACCAATGCAATTAGTAAGTTTATAGGAAATTTTTCAATTCTATGAACTATTATTTTTGAATTATAAAAAAAAAAAAAAAAAAATAGGAACCAGGATTATTTGAATGTTATTTAAATGATTTTAAACGTACATTATGTTTTATGACTAAAGATGAATTAGCAGCTAATGGATATAATATTGATAAATCATATCAATCATTAATGCCATTTATGCGTCCGCATGATAGTCAACTTGATTATTATGAACGATGTCGAGCAATTATGGATATTATAACTGAACGACATCAAACAACCGGTGGAACTATTTTAATTGTTGCACGTAAATTTGATTAGATTTTTTTTTTTTTTTGTTAATCTTCTGCAGTTATATATATATCTATATATTTTTGGTTTTATTCTTTAGATGCTCCAAGTCTTGAAGGTCTTACAAGACATTTATCAGGTGGTAAACTTCAACCAGGTTTGTTTGTTTTGTTTTATTTTTTCGAAAACTTTTTTTTTTTGTAATTCAAAGAAAAATTATTTGATATTGCTCGTCGAGTACCATTTCTAGCAATGACAATTGTAGAAAAAAATAGTATAGATAGTCCATGGCTCTTTCGTACACAACCACTTCAAACAGCTGGTACAACACAACCAATGCGTGAAGTTTCACCTGAATTACCTCAACCACCAACACCAGCACCAGCAGCAGCAGCAGCAGCAGCACCTAAAGCTATTCCTTATCCTCCAATTGTTCAACAAAAACAATTACCACCACCACCACCGCCACCGAAACAACAACAATCAGTTCAAATGATTCCAGCACAACCTAAACAAGAACAAGACCAACAACGTCCTCAACAAAATCAAAATTTACGAGTTCGAGTACCAATAGGTCCAATACCAGTTGATCCAAAGAAAGTAGCTAAAAGTTCAACAGCTCCAAATTTACCAACAAGCAATTCATTAAGTGAAATGTTTCGAGTTATTTAATTGATATGAAGTGACATTTCATGAAGCGACTTTTTATTTTTTTTTTGTTTTGTTGTCTATACGAATATTCGAAAATAAATTTGACATATTTATTTCGAGATGATTAAAGAAAAAGAAAAATATTTGATGAAAACAAAAATTGACTTAGAAAACTTGAATAGTATATAAAATAAATCGAAAATTTAATTTCTGGATATGCAATAATAATACCTATTATTATTGTTGAAATGTCTACAGATACTTTTCAATAGAGTTAAAAGTTCTAATAACAATAGACTACAAACAAACAAATAAACTACATCATATATTTATATTTTAGACGAATGATACTATCCGAAAATAAATATTATTTATGCTCGTGATTCATTTATCATAACATATTGACATCAGTAGAGGATGTGAATGTATGCCTACGGCTAAAGAAATGACTAATATTCAAACTTATATTATTATATCTGAATTCGATAATGAGAATTGAATAGCAAGTAATTATAAACAAGATCTTGGATATCATCGCTTACATATTCATTTGAATGATTACAACATTTAGTATTTTGCAAATATCTCAGCAAAGATCAATCGTAAAATCTTGATTCTTTCTTTAAAAGGATACGCCGTGAAAAGTTCTACAAAAATTGTAAGAAAAAAAAATCCCTATTGACTTGTGTTCTGATGGTCTCTTCTATATTCATTTTGAATATAGGGATACACCATTAGAACCAGTCAATTGGGATTTCTTCTTATAATTTTTGTAGAGCTTTTCACGGCGTATCTTTTAAAGAAAGAATCAAGATTATACGATTGACCTCTGCTGAGATATTTGCAAAATACTAAATATCGCAATCTTTATACCGCATTCGGTAGTTTCGTAGTATTAAAATCTATTTATTATTATTATTTGATTGCATATTTGTATGAAAAAGTAAACATGAAATATGAAGATGTGGAACACTATCAGTAAATATAAAAGGCTCTTCAAGAGACGAACACAAAGAAATAAACCCTAAATATTATTCATTATAAATTCTCTCTAGCACATTATACGACAGGTACGTAACACAAATCTCATTCGATCAGTGACAGATCGAGCTTCATCCCGATAAAAATAACTCATTGAAACAATATTCTTCATCTTTCTTGTCACATCATCGTAATACAAGTCAAAATCAACCAGTAATGTTGTTGTTGCCGAGAGTTTGTGACTCGTAGCAAATCCTTGACAATGTTTATGTAATGGTAACAAAACGAATAGTGAGGGTGTATTATTCTGCATTTCTTTTACAGTGTAGTACAAGTGAAGAAACATGGTTTATTTGAAAAATGTTTTTATTCTTATCATTCAAATAAATGATCTTATAATTTTCAACTATATCAATGGATGTTGACCAAACTGTGCATTAGAAACATTCAACTTATAATATAACTCTTCGAATATACTATTGATGAAAAAAAATATATGACGATATCATTGTGACTATGAGTAACAGCGAGATTAACAATGGTTGTATTTTCTCAAATGACAATAATTCTGACGAACTTCCGTCAGAAAGACGGAGTTTCTTCCTAAAAAAAACTCCGTAGCAGGAATCCAGTGTAGCCAGATTTTTCTAGTTGCTGACAGAGCCGGCAACCAGATCCGAGCACTGAATTCCTGCTTCTAAGTTTCTATCATATTTTGTGACCTTAGGAAATTTAATATGAATGATTCTTCTCAGATTTGTTTTTTCGTCTCGTATAATCAAGCCGTGTGCTGTATAATCAGTAAAATGAAACTATAAAACATGTTTAATATATTGAAAGATTAAAAAGACTTATCAATGATTATGATCTATTTTGTCATTGGTTATCACAGTAGACAAGGAAAGATCCAATGTCAATCTTTCATTTTCATTATAATAAAAATAAAAATTATGAAAAAGAAAATAAATTAAAAAATATCAATTATTTGAATTCCTTAAAGCACAATTCAATCGTTTAATGTTTAGATATTACGAAAAAAAAAAGATTGCTCTTAAAAGACTTTTAAGTAACACAATCATTAGTGTCCTGTAGGAGCGACTTCTTCCAATTCTCGAAATCTATTCCTCAACAATGTAATATCGGATTAACTTCGACTTAATACTATTCCCGCAGGACACTAATAATCATACACTTTATTTGTATTTAATTACCTTTAAACTCAGTGAAATATTTTTATCATATGAAAATTATATTGAATTTATTCTCAATCTGAAGGTCAACGGCTCTTCGACGATAAAATCACATTAGAAATCATTGGTACAGTCGAAAGAAAATTTCGTGTATTTTATAAACAATTATCGATGACTATGAAACCTATGATTCTTTAACTGTTGAAATAAGAAAAGGAATGCGCCGTGTAGCAAGAAATTATATCGAAAATTGTTCGAATTGAATATTGAAAACAACAAATGCATATCTAAAATATGATTTCTGTTGTAACTTGTAGTGTTTTCCTCCTCACTGCATCTGGTTATATATAAAAACATTATGAATATTGACTTCTTAATTATGGAAAATTTTTTGTATACAAATTAATAATCAGAATATTTTTAAATTGTAGTTTTAAAATGATGATTTTTACTAGAGAACTAATGACTAATCAAAAAGTATTTTAAGGAAACTTTCCCTCAGAAAAAATCAATTTTAGCCAAATGTATGAGTTTTGTGATTTATAGCTTGTTAGATAGAGCAAAGTGTCTACTCTCGAATACATTATAGTTTATTGATTTTATGATGAGATTTAAGGATATTACATTGGTTTTTACGTTTTCGTGCATCACAGATTTTTTCGTCATTTTAAACGGTAGAAAGCTCGGCTTGATATCAAAATGAAAGCACAAAATTAGCTCTACAACTTAACAGAGCTGGATTTTTCGATTTCCCTATTAATTTGTATAAAAAAACTAATTGTTATAGACCTACTCCCTTCTAAGTATTCTGCATTTCATCCGAAGAGTTTTCTAGGAACATAAGCTAAGAAGAAATCGAACGATCGGCTTCTGTTGAGTTGTAGAACTAATCTTTGTCTTCATTTTGACACCAACCCGAATTTTCTACTATTTAAAATGGTGGAGAAATTTGGAGTGCACAGAAACCTAAATTTTGTCCCATATTCTATCTTTATCATGTTGATCGATGGTATAACAGATATAAAGACAATTGTAGTTCGCGCCATCTATCGTGATATGCCTCATATGAGGATAATTTAATATTCATCAATAAGAGCTTCGATTGGCATCTAATATATTTAGGCTTTACTTCAGTTTTATTTAATAATAGGAAGGCTAATTAAAAAAAACAAACATTGTTTTGCATTTTTCTCAAAATTGATATTTTTTTGCTAATGATCGAATTTCGAATAAATTTTCTTTCAATATACTTCAATCTAAAGATCAATATATTTTTTTCATCGATAGATACATGCATAGTCTTTCAGATGAGAAGAAGGAATTTTCTAATTGGTCATCAATGGGTACAAATGCAGTTTGAGCACACCCTCATTGTTTATTTCAAAGAACAGGAAAAAAAAATTATTAAATAATAAGCACACCCAGTATCAAGCGAGATCTGTCACTTGATACTCAGTGTGCTTATTATCCAATAAATTTTCTTTTCTGTTCTATGAAATAAATAATGGGAGTGTGCTCAAACTCCACTAGTACCTTAAAAATGTTGATCGATCATATTCAAAAAATAATTTCTATTAATATGAGATAATGAATAATCATAAAAAAATTTATTGTTTATTGAGAAAAAAAATTCACTTATGTTGACATGACGACTTGACACACTATTACTTTACTGATTGGTTGACTGTACAGACATATCAGTGTATGTTAGTCCTCTGTGTGTTTATTGATTGGTCTAATAATATTCTGTTTATTTTGTTTTGAAATATTGTGCACTGATGATTTTTTTTTTGTTTTATGATAGGAATATTTGTTTTTTTGTTTTATCAAACATCGATCAAAAGTTCAGAAATTATTTTTTTTGAAAAAATATAAATATTGTTCATAAAACAAAAAGAATCCAAAATTTATTATATAACTATAGCTTGTAAAAATTAATGAGAAAGAAAGAAAAAAATACACGTCTAACAAACATTTTAGATGGGTTGTAAGCAATCGAGCATTTGCTTTGCTTCTGTAGTTTTTTTTTTCCTTTCAGTCTCTCCATTTTCTTTTTCATTGCATTTCTTTTTTCCTTTTCTTTTTTTTTTTTGATTTCATTGCCCACCGTGGTTGTATTTCATAGAGGTGCGACAATCGGAACGAGTTGTATGCAGTAATGCATACAAGTTGAAGGAGAAATGTAAAGGACGAAATAGCTTGATTTTTCTTTTGAGTAATACTTCTATTTTAACTGACTATTTTTTCTATTTTATGAGTTGTGAATTGTAATTTTTCGTAACTCTATTAATTTAACTCTTCTAAAATTTTATTATTTTCCTTTTTTTTTTTTTTTTGTTCAGATAAAAATAATCATAATGATGGTTATAAGAAGCTCGATTGTCGTTTTTCTAGTACTATTATTATCATCAATAAATGCATTTTATTTACCAGGATTGGCACCGAATGTATTCTGTCGAAATCCTATACCAGATTCGAAATGCAAAGTTAGTTTTGAAAAAAAAAACAAAAATATTAATCTGTTATTATTAAAATATCTCTTTAGCCAAAAGTTGAAGTGTTTGTCAATCGTCTTGATTCAGTTGAATCTGTATTACCTTATGAATATACATAGTATGTTTGAATAAATCAAAAAAAGAAAATTATTTTGTTTTTTTTTTAAAATTATCTTTTACAAAAATTTAGTTTTGGTTTTTGTTCTGTTGTTGATGAACCATCACCAGTAGAAAATCTTGGTCAAGTTTTATTTGGCGAACGAATTCGTCCATCACCTTATAAAGTTTATATTTTAATTGAAATTTTTCTTTGTATATATATATATATATATTTTTTTTCTAGTTTGATTTTCTT